CAGATAATGAGGCCATAAAGCAGACCACTAACAGAGCAGGCACAGCTGCTATCTAAACCACAAGCACTGTAGTACTCTCCTACCAAGTAATAGCAAGTATTTCAGGACAATATAACAGTACCCCATCTATTCCACCACCTGGGCAGATATGAACATATCTATCCCTTGACAGCTACACTATTATGGGCAACAACTAGCAACTCCATCTTATACTTGTTTATACTCCCAGTGACACCTAATGTGCCACAAAAAATATAATAAGTGTCTCTTAAACCTGTTCTACTCTATGGTCTAAGTCATTTGGTGAGATTATAGGCCACTTGAGTGAAGTATTTACCAAGACCAGGAGGGGTTCCCACCAATGCCCAGGTTTTCTATTCCACACATATCCTCAGTAGATTGGATCAGAAATACCTGTAGACACAGACACCCTGGTGTATCCCCTGCCCTGGACCCTCAACACCTTCATGTAGGGTGCCTACCCCGTGAAGCTATCTTGACAGTGGTGCCTCTTCCTGGTTAGCTCAGCTTCTATGTTGGCTATTCAAAGAGTGCCATCTACAGGATGAACTTAATTCATCTCCTTCAAATATCTGAAGAATGTGTTTAAAATTTGTTCAAGAGCTATTAAACACAAAATTTAAGTTTAATGACAGATAATGAATTTCTATATTAATTCTTTACAGTTACTACTTATGTCTTTTTTAATAGCTTCCTTAAATGTCTCTGTCTCAAAGAGTAGCCAGTGGTGAGAATCACAGGCAACCCCTCTATCCCAAGAGTGGAGATGTATTTGTTCTGGGACCTTACACTGCCTCAATCTCTCCCATGGTAGGCATTTTTTCCGCTTACGGGCTTGCCTTTTCCCACAGAAGGGCAAATTTCCAGGAGCTGTAACAGATGTAATAGCTCTTCATGCTTTGACTCAAGATAATTTTTTGAACCTGAATACAGAGAATGGGTACTTAGAATTCCATTCTCATACCAGCTTCAAGTCAAAGAATCCTAAAATGATAACGTTGAAATTGGACCCTTCACTGAATCACGACCCTCTAGAGTACTGCTCATAAGGAAACCCCAGCCTCCTGCTCTACAACATGTGTGACACCCTTTCTGACAATACCTCATATTCAGCAACCCCAAACAACAAGGAACAAGAGCTTTCACACTTGGCTTCCTGTCGTTGCTCTTCTGAATAACTCAAGAATTTTATGATTCCTGGGTATATCCACTCCTCTTCTCCCAATGGCCTTTGCCTAATCAAAAGCAGAAGCAAGAGAAAAAGAAGAGCCCTTTCCTGCCTGAATCACCCCTGTTCTCACTACCTGAGCATGGGGATCATGTTGCACAGAACAAAGCACTCAATCTACCTTCGTTGGGTCAGAGTTGGGTCTCTTGCATGGACTAAATTTCAGAATGCTGGGCAGATCCATTGGCCACTCCCTTCTCCAGAGTGAGGACAAGATTAACTTCCAGATTACAAGATCCATCTCTAGAGGCATATTTACAGGAAGATGAGATGACTGCATGACCGCTAGTGTGCCCTTTCTAGTCCACATCTGCTGTTCTCTTTTCCAGAGGAAACACGCCTCCTAAAAGCATGAGCTTTCTGGAAGTTAGAACTCTCTCTTCTCTCTCAAAAAGCCACAGTCTTATCAGAAAGCAGAAGGAGGAAAATGTGGGTTACTTGTTGGCAGGGCCAGAGAAAGGCTGTAAAGGATGTCAAACAGGATGGCTACAGCAGCATCCCCCATTCCTCCAATGCATGCTCTTTGTCCTGCACTTGCCATGAGCAACGGGCACTCAGAAGTGAATTTTATATCTAGTTTCTATACCACGATGTATTAGTCTGTTTCTGTTGCTTATAACATAAATACCTGAAACTGGGTGATTCGTAAGAATACAATGTATTAGTCTGTTTAAGTGAATTTTATATCTAGTTTCTATACCACAATGTATTAGTCTGTTTCTGTTGCTTATAACATAAATACCTGAAACTGGGTGATTCGTAAGAAAACCAAATTTATTGCTTACAGTTTCAGAGGCTGGGAAGTCCAAAGTCCAGGGAGCACATCTGGTGAGGTGTTCCTTGGCAGTGATGCAAGGGTCTCACATGGCAGAATGGCAGAGTAGAGAGAGCAAGAGACTCTCACATGCTCTCCTTTTTAAACCCTCAGAACCACGTCCATGACCACCATTATTAATCCATTCATTAGGGCATGGTCCTCAGAATCTAATCACCTCTTCAAGGCCTTACCTTTCAATTCCCATAACAGATTTCCCACCTTTGACAGTTAAGAGTGGGGATCAAGCTTCTAATACATAAAACTTGGGGGACACAATTCAATCCATCTCACTCAATAAGGAGGAACAGCATGGAGTTGGAATAAGAACATGACTCTGGAGTCCGACAGACCTGAGTTTGAATCCTAGCAGAGCCACTGACAAGCTGGATGACTTGAGCACACTGAAGAACTTTCTCAGCCTCAGTGCTGTCTTCTATAAAACAAGGCTAATACTATCTGTTATTCAGCATTGGTGTGAGATAAAATATGGAATGGAACCATAAGCTCTCAAAAATGTGTCCATTCTTTCTTTAGTGTGAATTTAAGTTAATGTGCCTCTGCTACCAACAAAAAGGCATTGTCCCATATGAAAGGAAAATCAGGTATCAGTGAGAAGGTGGAGGAGCAGTCAGGAGAAATGGGGTTGGGGTAGCCACAAGGCTTGTTTGGTTGTAACAACACACAAAAATGATAGCCCTCATAGGCCTGTAATCAAGGTCAGCATTGCCTACAAGGCTACAGCAGGAAAAGAGCAAGGAGAATGAGTTGGGTCAGGGCTATGAGTGGCTTTGGGGATGTCCTTCCTAAGTGAGGAGGGGCTGAGCCACAGGGATGATTCTACTCCAACAGACCACCCCAGGTACCACAGCCCACACTCTCGGCAGACTGAGGACACATGTGCCTCTCCCATACTTTGCCCCCTAACAGATTGGAGAGGCACTCAGGGAGCCTGGTCACCCAGATATTTTGGATCTGTGCCACATCTTGTCCATCAGAAGGCATATTGGGACCTGTGTCTATATTACGTTGACGAAGCCTGGCTCATTCTGCAGATGGTCCTCTTGTGGATAAGAGGTTTTTTCTTTTTTTTATTGTGGTAAAATAGACATATCATAAAATTTACCATTTTAATCATTTTTTAAGGATACAATTAAGTGGCATTAAATACATTCAGTGTTGAACAGCCATTACCACCATCCATCTCCAGCACTCATCTTGCAAAACTGACACTCTGTATCCATCAAACAATAACTCCCCATTCTCTCCTACCCTGAGCCCCTGACAACCACCATTCTATTTTCTCTCTGTATAAATTTGGCTTTCTAGGTATTCTAGGTATAAGCAGAATCATACAGTATTTGTCCTTTTGTGGCTGGTGTATTTTATTTGGCATAATGTCCTCAAAGATTATCCAGGTTGTAGCATGTGTTAGAATTTCTTCCCTTTTCAAGGCTGAATGATATTCCACTGTATGAATGTACCATGTTTTGTGTATCCATGCATCCATCAGTGGACAGTGATGTTGCTTCTACCTTTTGACTATTGTGAATGTGTGTGTACAAATACCCGTTTGAGTCCCTGCTTTCAATTCTTTTGGGACTATTCCCAGAGTGGAATTGCTGGATCATATGGTAATTCTATTTTTACTTTTTTGAGGAACCTCCAGACTGTTTCCCACAGTGGCTATACCATTTTACATTCCCATCAGCAGTGCATGAGGGTTCCATATGAGGCTTTTCTTATCCCACAGATTGGGCCCAATCCAGTCACATTCCCTGGGTTCAGACCACTGCTGACATGGTCTTTCTGGTTCCCATAAGGGTTTCCACTTTTCAGCACACACTTGCAGCTCCCCTAGAGATGTAGTAATGCTCCATGACTTTCCTGTCCTTGTTTGGTTCTTGGTGGGCTCTCTTTTTGCACCACAGTGCATGGCTATCTTGGGATGGTGCCCTTCCTGGGTGAAGGCTGGGGCCCTGCACAAAGCCCAGAGTGGCACCTACCTCAAGGGCTGCAGCACAGTGGGCTCAGAGCCAGCCCTGGCTAATGCTGTGATGTGGAAAAACCTAGCTCTGTCATCCTCACTGCTTCAGCAGTATCCACCCCTCTGTCCCATGTGGATAACACCCTGCGTTATCTTTAAGAGTTTTATTTTCCATTGCAACTGATCATAGCTGACAAAATAATTGGACAGCAGTATTTCATGTTGAAGATGAAAATTTTCAGGATTTGTTTTAAAAACTCCCCAATAGAGAGGTATAATGGAATCAGAATAAAATTTTGGAGGTGGAAACTCTGAACAGATACCCTTTTATATCATTCTACCATTAGACAAATGATCAGGGTCTCTCATACAGCATCTTTGTGCAAATTAGAAAATGGTGCCTTTTGGGGTCAGGCGTACAGCTCAGCTAAAAGACTAAATATTGTGTAAATTGTAGACTAAATATTGTACAAAGGACACCAAGGCACATTTTATGGATACATTCAGCCACATAGGTGCCTGGCTGGTGCCATGTCTCTCTCCAGGTCTTTGAAGGTACACAGCTTTGCAAGAAGAGGTAGGGCTAATTTTCAGCTCCCATTTACCTACAGCAGGGACAACCATAAGCAGTAACCTTGAGTTGATAACAGTTCTAATGACATTCCCTCCCACCAGCACCACCTTGTGGACAAGGCATTTTTAGATCATGCTGGCAGGAAGATTTTCTTGAAGATTATAAACTTGGGGTCAATTTACCACTCACCTGAGAATCCAAGAGAAGACAAAGGTCTCCTTGCATCAGGCAGGAAGGCAGCCCAGCTATCAGCCCAGGCTATCAACCCAACATGCCCTACCAAACACCAAAGCCATAGCCATGATCTCCTTTACCCCACCACACACACACACACACACAGAGAGAGAGAGAGAGAGAGAGAGAGCGAGCATCTCACCTGAGCCACCTCTTCAAAGTCATCGTGCCTCTTCTGCAGGGCCCGGGCTCGATGCAAGGACTTCCCAACTCCAGTGTGTTTGCTGAGAAAGGCCTCGCCATGGTTTTCAATCCAGTCCAACACCTGGTCAGAGAAGGAAGGCAGAAACAATGACTTCAAAGCAGAAGGAAAGACATGTGATAACATGTGCAACTGCTAGAGTTCTACCTGTACCATGCCACCCCCCAACCCAATCAGAAAGCATCAGTTCAGGTAGAAATGTTTAACCCACTGTGAACACAAGGGATTTCATTACTGTTATTCGCAATATAACAGTCCCAACCTTAACTAAATTAAACTCATTCCTCTTTGATCTCCAGAATATCCTCCCATTACATTTTTAGTTTTCTTATTACCTGTACCATGCCACCCCCCAACCCAATCAGAAAGCATCAGTTCAGGTAGAAATGTTTAATCCACTGTGAACACAAGGGATTTCATTACTGTTATTCACAATATAACAGTCCCAACCTTAACTAAATTAAACTCATTCCTCTTTGATCTCCAGAATATCCTCCCATTACATTTTCAGTTTTCTTAGTCTTAATTAGTCCATTATTTTAAGTGAGCTACAAAGACCATCAAGCACAGCTTAACCCACTCACTAACTACCTCTCCCCCAACCACACAAAATCAGACACATTGGCGGAAATTAAGTGGCGGCAGGTCAGGCAGTATGTTGGCCCTCACCATTCATCTCTTGCTCCATCATAAAAATGCTCACAGCGGTGGCAAGCAGTCAGGGGGATCCTGCCTCATCATGCTCCTGGACTCCCTTCCTAATCATGGAAGTAAAGTACAGAGTAGTCAGTCCCAAGTTGGGTGCTCAAGATAGCTGATCATTAGGACAATAGCCTGTTCTGGTTTATTTCCACCTCTCTCCTCCAACCAACA